AGATTTTTGATGATAGAATATTCCCCTTACTCTAGACACATTGTTCCAAATTGTAATTGACAAAAACTTTTTAAGTACCTAATTAAGATTTTATATTTATCTACCGTCGACTTTTGATCATTAGATTTTATGCTTTTATCTAGTAACTAAATGATCCTCTGCTATTAGCTGTCTTCCTTCTGTACAGATATTTATAATTATGACTCATTATCCTTTCAATGAAGCTAAATGGGAAGTCTGCATATTAGGAAGGTAGATGGTAAATGTTCATTCTTCTGCCCAAAATGAAAGAACTCACCTCACAAAATTGACTACACAGAGCTATAACCAAGATAAAACTTTAATAGCTCAAATTTGGGCTTGTCATTGCTAGCTCAAGTTGCCACCATATTCATTGTGTTGCAAAAAGAGTCCAACAGGCTCAGTGCAGTGACAGAGCAAGTTCACATTTATTCCTACAAAATACAATACAAAACTATCCTATATAGGACCAAGACACCTTTAAAACTTCGAGAGATATGAGCTCACATAAATGTTCAGAGTTTCATCTGAAAAATAAACTATGTTTTAGTTTTGTAAAGATTTGGAATAAAACTGACTTTCCTAACAGGATAACAGCTTGCCTTCTTTCCAGTAGTTCTTTTGGCCATTTCATTCATTCATATGGTTCAGTGCAGGACTGGGACAAAACTACCAGCAGCTGACAGCAGTTCTTTGCCTCAATTTTTTTCTACACTTGCAGCACAAGTCAGGGAGGTGAAATGATAAAGATGATTCATCAGACTGATCAGAAAGACAAAACATCATATCCTAATTTGACCCAACACAGGAACTTGTCCAATGAGATTTTTTTTAAAAGCAACCAACCAGTCATGATTAACTGCAATATAACCAGGAGAGACTTTCTGAGAGGAAAGGCAAAAGTGCCTATGAAAATGAAAATGTGTATGCAACAATATATACACAGTATCAGTGAAAACTAGTGAAAAACATAGTGTTTTCCTATAGAATATGAAAAAAAAATGCAAACTGGATTTTACGCAGAAAAACAGAAATCTTGCTGGCAACTTCCCAGCTTTCCAGGCTGCTGCTTTATTAACCGAGATATTTTTATATTAACTAAACTATTTTTGCAAAATAACAAGAACATTGCTCCTATACTTAATAATAAAATATAAATGAATATACACTGCAAGAATATTTTCAAGACTATTACTGTGTGTTGTTTCATACTGGGTAAAAAGTACATGGAAGGTAAATATGATTTTATAAAAGTATATAATGCCTTCTTCCACCACCACTGTCATCTGCATCAATCATCTATACAACTGGAAATTTAGAGTTGTCAAATGGTGCTACATCAATTGACTATGTAAATGTCACTGGTTAATCAGATCTTCCACATTCATTTTGCTTTGTATGACCAACATACCTCTGGCAAAAGGCTGTGCATTCTGACATAGTTTCATTTGACAACTCATCAAATGGCTTTTGATTGGTAGACTCCATCCCATTTTCCTCTTTCTCTGCCTGGCTGTAGCAGTGATCTACCAAGTAGGTCTGGCTTTCTCCACTGCCAGGGACAACTTAGTATTCAGACCTGGACTGAAGAACTACTCCAGTTTCTGGCAGAGACACAAAATGTGTAGCAGAGATAAACCACTGCAGTACTTCAAAACATATTTCCTGACATACTTGATTTAGGTATATTTTCTTCTGTATTTGGAACACACAGATTTTTGTACCACAAAACAAATACTTGGGTGTCAAAGATGCCTGTAGTATATTAGTAATTTTTCAGGCTCCTCAACTCAAATGTACAAGCATGGATAGTCTCACAAAACAAGCTTATCTGCTCATTGTGACTTAGTGGATTTTTATCAAAAACCTTTGCAATGAAAAACCTCACAGCTGAGGTTCCCATACAATATGCAACCCTATCTGTACATAGGCAGGTGGTCTGTGGATCATTCAGAATGACATGGAAGGACAATGATGTGAAGTAAACAGGTAGGCAACTTTTACAGTTCTTCTCCATTCAAGAGGCTGCTACTCTCTGAGATAAATATTGCTTTGGAGTGCCATGATTGCTTTACAATTCCAAAGCAAACTGATAATTAATAGCAAAAGCAAAAAAAAAAAAAAAATGTCCAGTGCATTGAATTCAACTGAGTTGTATGACTGAAGGTCTAAGGGGCTTAAGCCTAGATTTCTACAGTAAAAGTATTTGTATATCCACCCAAAGATGAAATTATGAATACATCTGCTTTGCTTGAAATAATGAAAAATCTCATTGAGAAAGTGTGCTTAACATTCCACAAGTCAATGCTGTTTATTACAGTGTTATCACACACATGCAGCCATTTGTTATAGAATAAACAAAATTAATTTTTTTGTGTTTCACCGGGTCAAAAAGCATGGGCAAAGATGTGCTGCAATTCATTACAATGTCACTGGAAAAGCTTTCATAAGCATGAAGCTTCTCTTCTGGATTTATAATCAAATCACATTGAATTTGATGTCAGAGAGCTCATCTAATTAGTTTTCATTGACTTAAATACATGCTTATATTTCTTAGCTGTTGTTGTCAGCTTTACAACAGTGTTTTTCATTAAAGCTTGGCAAAAAGTATTTAACCATATCTTAAGTGGACTCATCTGCACAGTTCTGGTTGCTGGGATATTCTCCTAAAATCTCGTGATTCTTCAGAACAGTTTTGTGTATGACAGACCCTACTTCACCATCTTTATGCAGCTGTACACAAGACTGAATCAAAATCAAGATGGGAAGGCTTGCAGAATGAATCAGCAAACAAGTGTTTCTAAAATAAAAAAAATATCTGTCACAGGTTTCCTGATGATATGAGAAGTATAACACATTGTAGCGAGCCTACCATCTGAACATGTGGAAGGAGAACTACAGAACACAAAGCTACAAAAATCCAGTAAAATCATAAAGTCTTTCATAGTATCGATTCTACAGATCACATTATTTCTCAAGGCCAGAGACAGAATCTCATAATGTGATCCTTTTCCAAACCAAACAGGTGTCCAAGTAAAAGACAGTTGTGCTTTTCACCACAGTTTTTAAGGAGATTATTGATTTTGTATGTGTCCATTTAAGTGTGTCTATTTGAGATGTGTTAGGGTGGGTTTTTTTAGAACTATTGAACACCCATAATTGACTGTTGAGGTCATTATCATTCTTGGTGTTCATTTTAGCTCATACAGTTAATAATCTTAAGAATACCCAGTTTGTCATTTTCTTGTTCAGCAGTTCTATTCTCTATACCATATTAACAAAGATATATAAAAATCTTTTCTCTCTTCAACTCACTATCCATGGATAATTTCTTTGCTCTGGCGTGGTCTAGCATGATGTTCTTGAAGTTGCTTGAGATATATGCAACACATATAGGATGTTCCTGCATCAATATATTCTAGCATCATGATTTTGGCAGCTCCTCCAGTACAAAGTCAGTTCTAATTTATTCCTAACATATTTATATTGCAATCTCAGAAGTTTCCTCCTCCACACTTCCCCAGTCTCCTGACACATAGTTTCGCACATCTGGTTGTCTTTCTGTTATTTGCTTTGGACAGTCTCTTTCCAATTCAAGCTAAATATGGAATAAAATATTTTGCTTTAAATGCTTATTCTTTCTCTTTCTCTGTGGTTAGCCTGCACATTTGGTAACATTTTAGAACCTTCTATTTACCTTTCAAGCCATTTCAGAACACCTCAATATTTTTGCTCTTATTTTAGAACCTTCAGAAAATCAGAACTTCTTTCCTGCATTCACATGCAAAGCAACAGCAAAGAGAACTTAGCTGTAGTTTTAAGAACTCAGAACATTGAGGTTTGATTACTATTCTGAAAGAAGTCCTTTAAAAAGGGAAATCTCAGGAACATTTACCTTTGTGCACCACAGTACAGTGCAGAGATCTTTGGCATATTGATGACAGAATCTGCAGATTCCCTTTTAGCTCTCTAGGGAGTCTTACGAATTTCAGATGCAGTAGTCCATGGTTCAATTTCTTGCTGGAATGGATTCTCCACAAGTAGGGATAATCCTTCATTTGATGCTTACTCACTTGGATATATTTCTGTATTCCATACTGGCCATATCAGGTTTTGCAATGCTTATTTATTTTTGCCAGAACACACTCCTGCATTAGCTGGTATTATTACCCTTACGTGGTTGAAATGGCACTTTTCTTCTATGATCTTCTTTTCATTAGCTTAAAATAACTTTTTTAAGCAATTATCTCTCAGTTAATACTTCTCAGGCTTGTTCTCAGGCTAACAGTTACATTTTTACCATTTTTAGTTGGAAGAGAATGCAGTCAGTAGTTTCTGAGGATCAGGCTTTCAAATATGTACAAATACAGTTGGTAAATGCAATAGTTCCTTATTTCCATTCATTTAATTTTTATCCTCCTAACTATAAGTAAGTATGATATAGTAACACCTCAAATACCACTTCCAATCTTCTTTGTTCTGAAGTTCCTACTGAAGTTTGTTTTTGTGAAGTTGTACGGTATTTAGAGCATCTATCTCACTCACTATCTGAATTTATTAAATAAAACTAGTAGTAACCTCAATATCTTTATTATATGAACTGTGCATGTTAACATGCATACTATATGCATGTATTGATACATTACCTCAATTACATAATTTTAATTTATATTATAATAATAAATAGATTGTCTTATATCTCAATTAAAATATAGCTTAATTACATAACAGAGATGTTAATGTAATTTTAAATCTGTAAAAGTTATATAACTAGGTAAGATTTCAAAAGAATATTATGTTCTCTAGGTAATTACAGCGCAGTGTGGCATAATGTATAACATGACATTTTATGACATCATGGTCATATATATATATACACACACACACATATATATATAAAAAACAGTAACACAGTTTAAAGAAATAGGTTATTGCACCTGAAAGACAGCAGATGAAGATGGGAGACATGGAAAAATTACCTTTATGCAAACCTCACGCTGTACCACCTGGCAGCTCGTGTCATGTACCCTTCAGCCACCACTGAATCTCCTGTGAACAATGGAAGATTCAAAAGAGATACAAATCAGAACAAGCCACAGTTTTTTGCATTAAATATAATTATATTTTTTGTTATCCACTATTACTAAACTTTAGTTGGCTAAGAAAACTCTAAAAGCATTTCCAATATTTTCTTAGCAGGCACTGAATCAGAACTTTCAATTGCTACAGCACCATATAAAAAGTGTATTTAAAAGGTATTTCAGTCCAAGGCCTGACAGAGCAATTTCTAATCACTTAGCTTCTTACCACCAGCACTATTCTTTCCAGTGCAGAAACAATTCATAATACACAGAGTCACACCAGCATTCTAAGCCCTACATGCTTCAGCAAATAAAACAAGGTGATTTGACAATCTCAGATATAGCTCACTCTTTTTGGATAAATAAAAAGCCAGTAAATTTAAGCATTTCTTTTCATTTTACACAACCTTGTGGAATTTATTTTAATAAAATTATCTCAGAAATCTAATTGATCGGTTTCCATCAGTAATTTAGAGATAGATTTTCAAAGGCATGAAAACCTAATAAGAATGCACCTAATTGATTTTCAGAAAGAGTTGAGGACTTGATCCTGCATTTACTGCAGTTGGTACTGAAATTTTCATTGATTTAAATAAGAACAGGTTCATACCTGCAGAGACTAGCTGCTATTTATGCCTTTCACACTATCCCTTCCATAGTTAGAGATTTCTTCCCATTTTTTGTACAAATAACCTACACACTTGATGTGAAATGAAAACTCTAAGAGCATATATTCATGTCAAAACAAAAGAAGAAAGGAAATAATGATTCTGTACATACGCTCAGTGCAATTCACCTTATATTACAAAAAAAACCCCAAACAACAAATCAAAAAACAAGTCACATTTCCAAAGGTAATGGAAGTTCTAACACTTAAGAGTGAACACATTGCAACTGCCCCTCAATTTTATGTTGCCTCTCTTCACTGAAGTCAATGGCATTATTTATGAGTAAAACAACCAAAACGTTGAATACCTAGTTTAATCTCTAGCTGTTTAGAAGTCTACAAGTTTGAGTAACTTGTACAATAATACACAGAACTATTGCTTTACTGCTGCAAGTGAGGAAAATGTTATGAAACATTCTATCAATAAATGAAACGCTGTGATCTTATTCTGTTTTATGTGGTAAAGAAATGCAACTGAGTCTTTTAAAAGTATTCCTATGTAGGGAATATCTGGCTTTTCAGAGAATTGTCTCACTGATGTATGCAAAGATCAAAAAGGGGTGATAGTGTTAGCATTCCAAATTCATCTATATGAAACAACAGGATAATTAGGTGTAAAAAATGCACAGTCATGTTCAAGGCAGTAAAGGATCGATTTCAGCTGCAGGCAAGTGGAGTGTGCGCTGTATCATCTGAGCCAAAGGAGTGACCACCTCCATTCAGATGCAAAACGCCCATTCCTACTGCAGATGGAGTTTGCCAGGACAAAGTGTTCAATAGAAAGATTACATTTCCAGTGGGGCAGAAAGGTATTTGCCAGTGTCTCGTTACAGCTTTGATACAAACATCTTGGATTTCAATTAGCTTTGAGACAGAACAGCAATAATCCAGCATTGAAACTACAGACAAATCTTTGTTTCTTACACCATTATATGTGGATTTTTGTTTCATTTGCAATAAGATATTGCAAGATTTCCAAAAGAAATAAATAGAAGGAAATAACATTCCATTCATTTTAATGGCAGAGATATCAGTTAGTGATGTCTGTCTGATAACTTTGCACTAGGAGGCGAGGGTGACATAATTTACATTTTTTCCAGCATAAATGAAAAGTGCTGAATTCTTTGAACCGTAAGTGTCCCATCAGTTCTACCCTCACTGTCCCACCTCCTATTATTAACATACCATATCCACTCTGATGCTTTTGATCCCTTTCTATGAAAAGTAATTTGCCTTCTCAATGGAAATAAGTATGAAATTTGCTCTAGTACATTTCAGGAGTTCAAACAATGGCCTGCAGAAATTTCCACCCTGTGGAGATAATCTTTTAACCTCACAAATTTAGACTTTGCAGTCATTTAAAATGCTTACTCCTAAATATTACTTGATATTTAAGAAAACTAGTATGTTCTTCTGAATCGATCACGGAACTAGGAGATTGAAGGGCAATTCTTAACCGTCACTTGGGTATCTGTGACTGATTTTGAATTAACTCCTGTAAAACTGGATAGTATTTGCCACCCTTACTTTATACCTGCATCACAAGGGTAACTCTCAGTTCCTGATATGTGGCAGGAAGAAAAGCTCAAAACCCACTCAGATATGATTCTGTATTGATTTCTTTGTTAGTAATGAAGTTATGATCTACGCCATGGAGATATGATTTTAATAACGCTCCAAATTATATTTGATGCCTTCCATTCAAAAGGCTTCCTTTCAAATATCAAATCACATAGCTTTAGCAGTAAGAAATATTGCTGTTGAAATAAATATGGTTAATTTGACACACTAAACAACTGAGACTAAGAAAAAATAAAGACAGGTCTGTAACCTAGTAACCAGTGGCAAAAACTACTGGTGGCAAAACACCACTTTTCCTCCTGTGATACCAAGGTGAAAGTCAAGACATGACTGCAGTCACTTGCCCCACAATTCCAGAGCAGGGATAAGAGCTGCGAAAATGGTCCTTTTAAGATGAATTGTTCTATGAACTAGCCACAAGGGTTTTTCTCTCGGAGAAAGAAATGCTACAAAATGCTAGATTTATCACTAAACATAAAAATGAAAAGGAAATTATAAAATCTCATGGATCTGTATTTTTTACTTTCTTTTGGAGTCTAAATGGCCGTCATAAATAAATCACAACAGCTGATCAGTAACTGTCTGTGGATATATACAGTGAATTTAAGCCAGCCTCTATAATGGGCTTTTTGTTTCACTTCTGAATTGCAGGCATCTTTAGGGGAATGAATGCAAGAAAGATATAATTCTCTATAACTATAGTGAAATTAAAAATAATTTTCCTGATTAATGACAATATTGTTTAAATAGCACATACTTCCACTGACTTTAATACCAGCTGTAAATACATTTTGCTCATAAAAACAGATCTGTAAATGTGTTAGAGCTTGGTAGCATTACTGGCATACACAATACTAACAAAACCAGTGCTGTTTACTTTTTGTCATAGCACTATAAAAAAATTTAACAGGTTACATGGTGCTTTGTGTATGTTATGCAGAATAAGAAATGCCAAATTATACATGTAGATTTTATCCAGAAGGATATTTGAACATATTCTATTTACTGTAAAATAAGTGCAAGTCCCCAATTATAAACATATATTTAATATTATTTTAAAAAGTTTAAATTTTATAAGTTTTTTCCTGCAAGTATAATGTAATTGAAGAATTTAATTTTTTCAAATTATTTATTTTTTTGCAGAGTAGCAGATTTGGATTGTAAACTTCTAAAGCCACAGAAAAGTCCAGATGGCTGTTTCACAAGATGTTCCATGAGAAAAATTATATGAGTTGGTTGTTTTTTCTTTCTGTACTCACAGCACTCTCAGAATACAGACTTGAAAAGGACATCAGAGATCTAGTCCAATCTGCTTTAGCAGAATAAGTGTTCCTTAACATGTAATAGCTGTCTAATCTCCTGTTAAAAATTCCAGATAGAAGAGATTCCAGCAGCAAATTTAACAAAACAACACCACAAACTGCTTTCTCTAAGACAAACAGGCTCATTTCTTATAAAACTTTTTCTGACAGGAACAACAGATTTGTCTCAATAGAAATCTGAGTACTAACAGCCATCAAGACCCGTGGTGATGATGCCTATGTTTAAAAGCAGTTATTGAATAAAAATTTGCCAGCAGTAGAGTACCCACTTATACACACACATACCAGCAAAATATACTTTATTTGTTGAAAATTGTATACTTCTCTCAGCCTTTAAAGAACTGAAATAAATAGCTGTTTAAATTTCTACCATTAGAAAACGTGTGCATTTCACTGTTTTAGGGTTTTCTGGAGTCTCAAAATCACGTCATGGGAAAGATGTACACTTACTTAGGTCTCTACAAGTTCACACATATATGTTCCATTTACAAGCCTTACAAAAGGCCTTTTGCAGGTTTATTCTCTTTTTCTGTCTGAAAACACATGTGCTAATGTAGTCAAAGGCATCGAAAGATGTACCATTCAAACCTAAGCGGATTCCTTTTGTTCAAAAAGTTATTTTTTAAACTAAACTACTTGCATGGATCAGACTATCTCAGAAGAAAACATAAACCAAAACACTTGTCAAATAGATTAAATAACAGGATATTAATGTAATGGCAGTTACTTGAGGAAGGAATTACCCTCTCTAGCACAGATCTTGGTCTCATGCTCCAGAGCAAATCACTGTTCCTCAGCAGCACAAGGAGGTGACAGAGCAAGATGATGGCCCAATTGCCTTTGCTCTCTACCCTTATGATTCAGGCAGCAGAGGAGTCTAATGTTCTCCAAAAAAACAAAAGTAGAGACTCTTCTGAATCAAATGGTATCTTCCTCTGCTTAGTCTGGATTTCTGCTCACCTGCAGCAGAGACCTGATGCACCTTTATCATTCTTTACATGTCTCAAAATAACTTCTCAGTAATACACTAGTTCTGTTTACATGGGTACACAATCACTATTAACTCTGGTGTTCATGTCTTAACCAAGCTGAGACCATCCAAGAACCAATGCACAGGATGGGTGTATAAAATCCCCTATAAGCTGTTTTCCCAGTGCTGGGTGCTGAAAGAGCTCACCTCACAGTGTAACTGAGCCACATTCTTACAGGCCATTATAAAATTGGGGTTTGCTACACCGAAAGATGCCACCACTGGGAAGCTGAGGCTGGAAGAAAACGCTCACTTGTAAACAGCTACAACCTGTGTGCCCTCTCCAACCTGTCCTCCCACCAGAGACCTCACGCCTTCCAGCTGATGAAAAATGTACCAGCTTACTTAAACTGAAACTGCTGTTACTTGTGAGATCCATGACTGCTAAGCCCCCTCAAATTTATTTGTATAGAGTTAGTACCCTGTCAGTGTTTGTGTCACTGCTAAACTGACTCAGGTAGAGTTATTTGAAAACTACAGCTATCATTTACAAAGAAAAAGGGGGATGTCACTGCTGCAAAAATTAGCTATTCTATTTTCTGTGTTCTAAAATGAAGGACTAATATAAAAAATAATAACATGACCTTTAGCATATATATGTAGGTTCAGGACCAAGAAATACACTTCAGTATTGAAGATCAATTACCAAAAAGCAGTTGGCTAAATTAATTAGAAATGTGAGATATCTGGTTCCTACATTCATAATTTTAAATGTAAACTTAAAAAATATTACTGGAAAGCATCAAATACAAAATTAATATTGTATAGCCAGACAAGAAATAAAGTAAAATACAGAAATAAAACATAGATTCCTGTTCTGAGGTGCACACATCACTTTAAGTGGTATGAGAAAATTCTGGCAAACAAATTCAAGGACGATAGATGTTAGTGGAAGTTCATTACTATCATCTTCATATTTCCATTTCTGGAGAAAGATGTAACCTCTTGTCTTGCACATCATACAATTTTCTTTGACACTTTCACGTAACAGTTTCTCTGAATGGTAACACCCATACTCTCACAAAATGTATGGAGGTTATTCAATGATCAGAAGCCATCTAGACAACAGACAGTTTCTCTAAATTTTCTTAAGGTACAGTGTGAACCCTGACTCACATGGAAGACTAAATAATCAACACTGATTCCTGCAGCAACTGAAGTTCTCCTGGCAGCTCTCCCAGCAAAGTACCAACCAACCTGTTCAGTTTATGATACCTAGCAGAATTGCAGCCTGACAAAGGCTGACGGCAAACGCGGCCTCTTTCCAGTGCTTGTCAGGACGAGTTCAAAAGATATACTCACCAGGCACAACTATTTGTAGATCCAGTGATTGCAAATAAATTATTCCAATTTGCAATAGCAGAAAATTTAACCTGCCATGGAGTTAATAGTTACTGCTTCCAAAAACTTCGTTTTGTAGGGTGTTGCAAACACACACTCCACTTGAACTATAAGAATCATCCATATTAATTCTGCCTTGGAAAGCACAGTTCAGGAAGACCAGCAGGCTGAGGTGTCACGCACTTCAGTGAGATACATTCAGCAGCACCAGCCCAGCAGTTAAAAAAACAGGTGAAAGATTTTGATACAGGTTTCCACACGACGCAAGTGACAATATACTTATTTAGGAAGAGCGGGGAAGAGCAACGGCACTTGCTACCAGTTTGTAGCTGTACCCGAACGAGGTGTAACTTCACTCCTGCACGACGCCCGTGAGGGACAGCGCCGTGCCCCCGGGACAGCCCAAGGCCACGGCGGGACACCCCGCACGGCACCCTCTGCGCGGGCCATTCGTCCCTCGCCTGACGCTCAGGGCACAGCAGGCGTTTACAGCTCTCATCCCCAGCTCACTGGAGTGATTACGGTACTGGCCCTACGCCTGGCCCGCAGAGAAAACCCTACAGTTCAACCAGTGCCTGCATCGACAGATTCGTTTCACTGATTGGCAAGGCGGAGTCTGAGGCGGCTGGGCTAAGGTAGATCCTCACTGACGCGGGTGGGCTGAGATGGCTGGGCTAAGGTGGATCCTCACTGACGGGGGTGGGCTGAGATGGCTGGGCTAAGGTGGATCCTCACTGACGGGAGTGGGCTGAGGTGGCTGGTCCCTCCTTGCCCCGGGACCCAACCCCGACGGAGAGGTCGCAGCCCCGCCCATTGGATCCCGCCCGGGCCCCGTGAGGCGCGGGAGCCTGGACCGCCGAGCGTCCGCACCACAGAAAGACTACAGCTCCCTTCATGCAACGCGCGACAGCGCCACTCTCCCTTGCGGCGGGGCGCCGGCGCCGAGTCACGCCCGGCGGCGCGCGCTGCATGCCGGGCGTCGTTGTTCTCCGAGAGTCTTCTCCAGCCCCGCCCCGCGGGAGGGGCGCGGTGCCGGGCCCGGGAAGCGCCCCGTCCCCGCCTCTCTTCGCCCTCGTTCCCCGTGTGAATTGCTTTGGGATCGCTCGCTGAGTAGCGCCTTGGGTGTCTTCCTGAACAGGTCTCCGTGTCCTTCCGCAGTTCCCGTAAGTTCCTGCGCATCCCACAACGCTGTCGGAGCTGGTTTGTCCTTCGGCGCTCGCCGTAGGCCGCCGCCCTCCCGCTGCCGGCGCCTTTGTGCGGCGGCGGAAGGGCGCAAGGGGCGGCGGAGCGGGGCCGGAGCGGGGCCGGAGCGGGGCAGGAGGCACCGGCAGTGTGCGGGGCCGAGTCCGCTCGGGCCGCTGCTGCCCAAAGGGGAGCGAACGCTCCTTCCCTGGGCTCGCCCTGCGGAGCGAGGCGCCGGGCGGCAGGGTGGGGCTGGGGCGGCCTGGCCGGGGCTCCCTGAGGGGAGAGACCGGGAGTGCCGCCGCCTCCTGGCCGCGGTGTGGTGGAGGAACTGCCGGGGCTGCCGGGCGCGCTCCCAGTGCGGCCCCCATGGGGTTTGGGAATGGGTGCTTGGCTCTGCGGCACCAGGTTCGTGCCGCTGTCAGCCCCGGGCGAGGCGGGGCGGGGCGGGCGCCCCTCTCGCTCCTCGGGAATCCCTCCTCTAGACGGGCGGGGCGGGGACCCGCGGTGTGACAACGCGCCTTCCTGGTGCTGTGCCAAAGTGACACGGGAATGCCATTCAAGAAAGCCGACCGTAGAGTATTTATTTATTGGTACTTAAATGTTTACGGAGGACATATTCTCAATCCCTTGAGCATGTGTTAAGTGAAAGAAAAAAGGAAATAGGAAAGTGATTTTTTTTTTCCAATTATTACTCTTTTTCATATTACTGACTTCAGGTTTCTGGTTGTGGTAAGCTAGTGTAATTTCTTTAAGGATAGCTTCTTTAAAGGAAAGCTGCTCTCTTAAAAAAACCTCAGCAAACGAAAAACCCCAAACAACCAAACCAAAACCCAAACAGTGATGTGATTTCTGTTGATCAGCATTTCAGCCATGTCGGACAAAAGTGAGCTGAAGGCGGAGTTGGAGCGCAAGAAGCAGCGATTGGCTCAAATCAGAGAGGAGAAGAAGAGAAAGGAGGAGGAGAGAAAGAAAAAAGAAGTAAGAAATAATTTTCGCTTTGAAGTTTGGCTTTGCATATGTAACTTGCCCAAAATTTAAGGTTAGGTTCACATGATCATTTGCTACGTGTAGTTCAGGGAGTGTCTATTTAATGGCTGGTGCCAGTACAAATGTAGTACTTCCATTGTCTGAGGAGAGCAAACACCTGCTGTCTTCTTTAGAATTGTCCATATGATGTTATGTATTAATTCTGAGGTTTTTTAATCCTACACTGGTATAAAGTTCTGATTTCTAAAACTACTTTTGTGCATGTAACATCATTAATCAAATCACTGTAAATTATTGCCTGAAAGCTCTGCTTAATAAGTTAGAGTGGTGTTAACTAACTTCTGAAGTACAGTCCACAGGATGTCTATATGAATTGTCTGACTGTCAGTATTATCATGGTACAAATACTGTGCTACAGTCTTGTGCTCTTTGACCCATCTATAGGGTGAATTTTAAAGTCAGATCAGCACTCAGGATGTATATGGTACTTGTGTGTTAGACTTGGTTTGTTAACATTGTCTTCTGGATTTCTGTCTCCTAAAGGATGTGACAATCAGAGATTTATTGCTGTTTGTCCTGAATGCAGATTATGCCTTATAAAAGAAACTTTTGCTGGAATGTTTGGGGATACTTTTTCAAGACTTCTCTGTGTTTTGGTTATAATCTGGTTGGTGTTCCAAATTGGGATATGACTGAAGGCTGGACAGCTGCCAACTGCATGATTCAGACAAAAAGGAGAGGGAAATATCTCAAATTATTTTCTAATGATCTTGTAACAATGTATTGCCTGTATCTGAGATTCCACATGTGATGCAGTAGCTTAGCAGCTGAGAACTTGCTCTAAAATTTGGGAATTGCTTTTTAAAAAAGCAGTTAAATGATTGTGGAAAGATACGGAGGGTTCAGCATCTTTTACAGTAGAGCTTGCCTTATGTCTAAATTAAAGAGGAGGAGGTGTAGGTTTCTGAGTGTTTTTTTTTTAAATCTGGCAGATAATAACACAACTTAAAGAAAACTACTTTTCCTTGATACAGTCATTGTAATTTCAAAATTGTAACAATATGATGATATCTCTAAAACACTTTCATCCACAGATACATAATATTATTTCTTCAGTCTTTGCATTTTACAGTGCTTAGCATTAGTGTAAAAAAAAAGGTATTCTTAATCTTATGAAGTGTTATTCATTGTGGCAAACTTTTTGGATGTTTATATATGTCTTTTAAAGACAGTACCAAAGCTACAGGACTTTGTTATTCCTGTCTACTTTATCTACAAAAAGGACCATCAGAATTACTGGAGTCAAATACTTAACCTGTATGATGATAGGTTTCAGAAGAACAAAAAAGCCCTATGAGTTCTCAAAATAAATGAAAGGTTAAATACTGTTAAATGCTATAACTTAATTATTGAATCACTTTTAGACTGACCAGAAGAAAGAAGTTCTTCCTATACAAGAAGAATCTGATCTTGAAAAGAAGAGAAGAGAAGCTGAAGCATTACTTCAGAGCATGGGGTTAACACCTGACTCTCCCGTTGGTAGGAATGTTAATATTTGTTTGAGATGAATGTTTGAGATTTTTTTGTTTGTTTTTTTGGGGGGGGGGTTGTGTTGGTGGGGTTTTTTTGTGGTGGTGGTTTGTTTATTTGTTTGGTTAGGGTTGAAGTATTTACATATCTAAAATAAAAATTTTCTGGCCACTTTTTTGGGGGAGTGTACATGTCTGATTTTAATACTAATTTGTCCTCATGGTCTTTGTTATAAATGCCAAGTGATGTGCTTCAGTACACATTACATTACTCTTTTGTAAAATACATGTTTTACCCTTAGTGTGTTATTTGAAGTATATTAGATAAAATATATAAATATCATGTATGTGTTTTATTCCCCCCCCATTTTTCCTGCACATTATTCTACTGTACTTTTTCTCCTTACTCTTTTTCATAATGCCAAATTTTAGTGCCAGTATTTTTGTTTGGAGTTGGTGTGTTTCCTTTCTGTATCTTTTACACCCTTGTTTTTCTTATGTCATTTACCTGACTGACTTTGATGGAGCTTTAGCAAGGCTGAGTATAAAAATTAACTACCAAGGGTGATGATTGATACCTGTGCAGCATATTGGTTGTTGATTTTTGCCTTTACTTAGACACATTGCTCTGGAAGATGAAAGCAAAGAGTGTGATAATTCAACTCCACTTTTTTTCTCTAACTCTGAAGAGATTTAAAGCTTGTCAGTTTGGCTCATTGGTGAGGTTCTATTTCAACTGGGTTTGTAAATAACTAATAATAATTTCTTATGGATATAGTATATCTATGATTATATTTTCATAATTGCTTTTGCATAATCCTCAAGCATTCAAAAGCAAGCATGGAATAAACACTCTTACTGCTGGTTCCATTCCAACAGCCACAGCAGTCATTTCTGGTAATTTGAACTCTTTGCATTGTTGAGAGAGTGCATTTGGGCTATGTTAGCACTGGCATACAGCTTTTTAAGTAATCAGTTCTGACCTACTACTGATTTTGCTTGCTAGACTAATGGTTGAACACTTCCCTTGCATAAAGTTTTACCAAGGCAGTTGATAAGACTTTTGTAGAAACTTGTATGGCTACTGTGAGAGGATCCAAAAACCACAGAATAGTCAGTCCTCAAAGCAAATCATTGCGTAGGTTCAGAGTAGCTGTTCCTGAAGAGCTTGGGAGTGTTGACATCCAAGACTGGTGCACAGCCCTGCATGTTGTGGTTAATTCCACTGAGCATCTACTTAACCTCCTTCAGTGGAAGGTTTGCAGGGGATTCATTCTGTTCCCTTTCAAGATAACCAGATCTGATGTGGATCCTAAATCAAGCTAATATATCCTCCTTGGTACCTTGCAATTAGCATGCCTAAGGCACAGGCTCCTTTTCTGCTGGCTGGATACTGGCAGATGCAGTGATCCTGTCCCTGAGCTGAAGGTAACTCATGGCTGAGCTGCTTGGTGTGCAGGAAGCTTGTGCTGGCACTGTCGGTGGAGGTGGATACCTTGACGTTGGATTCCTTCATAGAAAATTGTATTAAACATTCCTAAGACAACTCCTGTCCTGTTAACTGCCAGAGAGAGAGCGAGCTCTCCTATGGGAGGAGGGACCACAGCAATGTCAGTATGATTTTGATATCTACTGTATTTCTTATATATAAGAAGCCATAAGTTAGTGCACCAAAATTACTTTCGAGAAGGTATTGTAGTTGAATCGTCTGTCGGGGTAGGTGAAATTTCATTTGTTCTTTTCGTAAGATGTTGGTCTCTCAATGGGATTCCCCTCAGTTATGGGAGGGCTCTCCCGAAAATGGCTTTTCCCACAAGAGGGCGGTGCAGCACCAGCGCTGGGCGCGGGTTCCTCGGGCTGCGCGTCCTGCGACCTCAGAATTTCTCTCAGCGCGCCTGGTAATGCACAAAAACAGCGGTAGAAGGGCCTGTGGGCCTTTCCTTTGGGGTAAATTAATCGTGCATGGCGATAAGGAGTTGAAGAACATACATCCCTATTTATATAACTATGAAGTCTGAGTATGTTTATGTGTGAATTAACAAAATATAACTCTAAACCTATAAAAAACTTCTCTCCTGTTGGAAGAATGAATTTTTTTAAAAAATTGAGGAATTCACTATGGGTTTTATAAAATTAGGGGAGAATTTTTTTCAGCGAGAGTCGTGTGTCTGTTTTGGGATGGGATGGAAAAATTCTCTCAAATTCACAACATACTTGTGATTTCGGGAAATTCTGTAGAAATCTTGCAGATCTAAATTCAGAGTTCTCCTATGCCTGACCCTTGACAGAGTAGATACCAATTTATGTACATAATTTGTGTTCTGTCGATTAAAGGTACTTTTTAAGGGTTCCTAAACAGTGAATGTTTGACATATTACTGAAAAATGAAGCATATGAGTAGCTTCAACACACCCCCTGATTCTTAAGTATTAACCCTAAGTTTCATTAAATAATAGATTTGGCTATTTCTAAAAAAAGTTGAAAGAAGTGTCAAAATAACTTTGTGTTTGTATCAGATTGCATGATATCATTCACTACTATGTATCAGTTGCAAAAAACGTTCCTTTTTAAAGTGTGAATGCAGACTTCACCTGTATGCTGAAAATGAACTGACTCTTAAGAAAAAGTTTCAGTGTAGCAGTACTAGACTGTTTACTGTCAAGTAAAAAAGAAAATCATCCTCAAAACCCAACACTAGAAACTTTATTGTAAGACACAAGATTTATGTGGATTTGATTCAAACTAGAACAAAAATAACCGCATGCTGCATGACAAAACCACTTTTTGGTCCACGTTTTAGTGATCACATATTTTGAAACAACATTGCCAATTTAACACTTTCATTGTCTAATTTTTAACAAAGACTGATGTCAAAGCTGTATTAACAACTATCCTTTTTTATGTTTAAGCAACGTGATCTCATGGAAATTACCCTTTGAAAATCGATGTCATCATTTGTCAAAAGTTCAGTTTAAAGATATTTTTTCAGTTCATTTTCTCTTAAATGTCTTTCGCTCCATGTTTTTTTTTGTATGCCCCAGATGCATAAATGCCAAACAATTGCATGAAAGTCCAGCATGAATTGTTAACATTGTCTTTTCCCCTCTCTTTCTGCTGTTCATTTTCATCCATGTATTCTTTTTGTTTGCCATCACTTTTTTTTTTTTAATACTTCATTTTAAATTAATTTGAAAACATCCTAAGCCGTGCAACCTCTGCGAGTAGTAACAGCGGATACCTGTCTGTTTCACTATTTAGTCCCTCCTCCTACCTCTCCGTCTTCCAAATCCGTGAGTACGCCAAGCGAGGCTGGGAGCCAGGACTCCGGAGATGGTGCTGTTGGATCGAGGTACGTCGCTCTCCTTGTCGTGTTGCTTTGCTCAGTACTTGTATTTTGGATAATTAAGCTTCAGAAGGAGTCAAGATCAGTTACTTGATTATAATAGTATGAGGTTACAGTGTACAGGATTGTTTTGCAGAAGTGCTTTACTTTAAAATTTGAAGTGCAACTACAATGCAGTGGAGTTGTTTAAACTTGCAAGTTTAAAGTAGAATGAATGTCTTGGGACAACAGCAAACTGGAAAAGTCCAACTTCTGGGCTCTTCCAGCTTTTTCTAAAGAAGGGTGTGTATGAATGGTAGTGTACTTCCCTTTTTCCTCAGTCCTAGTTGGTCTAATAAAAGACAATGTCTACAGACTTTGCATTACTTCTGGTTTTAATTTTTCCTTACTCAGAACCATATTTCTCATTTTGCAGCCATCTGTGTAACACAACTACAGCACTTGCAATCTCTCTTATTTTGCCAAACCATAACACCATCTTAATGCAGCCACAGTCATTTTGGTTTTTTTTCTTTGCCAATACTTGCCCCATCTATTTGACCATTTCTTTGTACATGATGATTTGAGACAGGCTGCTGTAGAGTCAGATAAATATTTCTGTTATATATTCAAAGTGGTGATAAGGTGGGAAACACTACTTCCAAAGGGTATTTCTGCTGTTTCCTGTGCATGATCTGCGAATAAGAGCAGTAGCTGCCTGTTAATGTTGGTAAGATATTTTCTCAGCAAATTAAGTTCCTGCACTTAAAATTTACTGAATATGCATTGTGGATGAAATTTAGTTAAAGCACAATAACCTCAGCAGTTATCATCAGTTACTTTTGATCTTATATGAGTACTTGTTTTGGAGAAGGAATGAGTATTTAGACCACTTTGAAATATCTTTTAAAAAGACTTCAGTGACATCTTGTATACATGTGGATCATGCATTCTTAATTATATACAGTCTTAATCTGCAAATATTCAAAATGTTAATGGCCTGAACAGCAGTTTTATGGTGCCTATTTCTAAGTAGAAATCATTATGTTAAAACAGAGAATACATCAGGCAGCAAATATGAACCCAAACTTTTTTTTAACAGTGCCCACGTGTGATCTTGTTTGTCCATCATGGTAATTAAGAACCAATGTAATTGTTCCTTAACTGAGTAACAAGCAGATTTTAATTATTTTAAATCTGTGATTATTGCTTATTAAATAGTAATTTTATATTTAAATTCACCGTCTGGAAGAATAAACAAGAAGTATTTGATGATAACTTTTTAAAAAGAAAAGAACTTTTCCCATTCATACCTAATTTAAATTCAGTATGAAACAGTATGTATAGGCCACATACCTGTAACTGAACACCATGTTGTGTGGTAAATTTGTTTCTACCTCATCAGTGCACTGTGCTCTCTGATTGTATGTTCTCAAACATAGTAACACGGTGTTGTATGCATACATTTTCTTATGAAACCCTGAGAAAACTCATACCCTAAGCCTCAGTAGCTTCATGCATTTTCAAACTTTAAATCTGTGTCAAGATTGTGGTATTAAAGGCATGGAGGTATGAATGTACAGCTAAACTGAAGGCATTATAGAGTCCCTCTAAGAGTCCCCTTGCTTATTCTCTGACCACTGGATAATACTCTTCCTCTCCCCCGGGAAAGAGGTGTCTGTGTCCCAGACTGTTAGTACAAGTTCATACATTTCTAACATACCCATACATTTGAACCTGAAAGTTGGACTCTTTGATATCACTTGGTCTTTTTTCTGGTATTTCACAGGTGACTCATATCAATATGAGATGTGTTAGAAGGCTGTTTCTGTGATGCTGAATCTTGTCAGTAACTCTTTTACTAATTAGTAGAACAGTGTTCAGACTGTTCCTGCTGTTACTTCCATCTGTCTTGATTTGTTTTCATCAGTAAAGAGTTGTTTCCTAGTTTGAGCCTGGTTTTTTTCCTTTTCCTCAGTTAAGAGTATAAGTTTAAGACTAGAAATTAATACAGTTGGTTTACTTTTTGGCTAGGTGGATGCTTAATAGAACTAGTTCAGAAGCAAAAAAGACTTTTTAGAGATATAGGAAGCATTAGGAATGTGCCTGGATACAGGGAAGTTCAGGCATATGTGGAAGAATGGGCACTTCTGTTAACTGAAGCTTGTAGATAAATTCATTTAACTCAAGGCATAACAAACAACTGGAAAACTAAAGAAACAGTGGTTTACATCATTTTGGCACATATGTAATAGTTGAATTTTATCTCAGAATGTTATCTTTATTTTAAAAGAATATCTCTGAGAAACATTTAATTGTTTATCCTGCACTGCTTGTTGACTTCAACTATTTTAAAAGACAGACTGTCCCTGGCACCACTGCAACAACTCTTGAAAGTGAAAAGGGTGCTTTGAAAGCAGGAAAGCTACCTCAGTAAGGGCTAGATCTTAAGCAGGTGCAAACGTTGGAGCCTTTTAGATTTGTAGCCCTTTCCCCAGGTTCCTCTCAAATGGGATTGAAAAAGTTGAGAAAATGTTTGACAAGTATTGTGGTGATGCAACATTTGTATCTCTAGCTAAGTTACCCTTTGCAACGTGAAGTTTTGGGTGGTGGTTTGGTTTTGCTTATAGTTGAACATGAAATGCAATATACAGCTTGAAGTCTCAGGCACCAGATTAAACTCCAAGCTTAATTCTCTTTGGGCAAGAATGATAGCAGAGATGTAACAAATAAGTATACTCAAACTAATTGACTTCAGGCTAAAATCATGTGTTTTCTGATGCACAAAAGATATGAAAAGGTTTTGGAGATATAGGTGTGAAGTTATTGCTGTGGATGCAATTGATTTGCTAGATATGAAGACAGTGGATTTATAATTCTTAATTAAACTATGATTAATACTTCTAATGCATACTTTCTACAAGAACAAGGTAGTGCATGACACTCATATTTATGAGCTTTTATGGGATTGTGTGTACATTTTTCAGATCAACTTTGCTTTTAGGAATTCTGCACCTGATTTATAGGAAAGTTACCATGTATGGGTTGAAAATGTAAAATTACTTATTTTCTTTATTCAAAAATATGGTATTTTTATATATATATATAATAACATCTGAGAATTTCAGAAAAAACCATGCATGTTAATCTGTTAATCTCTTACAAGTGTGTTTTTAAAATTCTGCCCAAGCCTGATAGCAGCCAACAGACTACATGAAAATTTGTGAAGAAAGGATGAAAAATGAAGGGGGAGGGAATATTGATTTCCCCCTTCATATTTCTTCTGATACAAAAGCGACTTGAAATAGATCCATTCTGTTCATTATTCCACATGACTTTGAAACGTATTATTAATCCAAAGCCCACTATTTCTAAGAGATTTTAAGTATCTTAAATGGAGTTGGCTCTAACTCAGATGACACTTACAAGCCCAAGGCAGTGCTTAACCCATAATTACTGCGATGTCACATCTTGGAAACTCTAGCAGTTCTCTATCCCAGTGGAAATGCTTTTTTACCCCACTACCAAAAGGCTTATGTGTTGACTCATTTCCTTTACCAATATGACAGTTTCCTCCACATATTTACTGCTCTGGGCAAGTTTGCATTATGTTAACAAATCTGTCTTCATATGACATGAACAAATTTGAACAGATTTTAAAAGGAATGTGAAGTTTCTAGTGGTTCTTGTCAGTATTTTTATTTGCCTTTCATAAGAGCTACATTTTTTGCAGGTCTTTAACTTTCAGTCTTTAAAATAGTTTAATTCTTTGCTGATAGCTCTGAATTCTGTGTTTGCTTCTTAACTTTTATAATTACTGCATGTGTTATTGCACTGAGTGCTGAATTTCCCATAACTGATGTTGCATTGCCTCGTTTCTTGTGAATAATGAAATAACTATAAGCTTGCTGTAACTCTAGAATTTTATAGTGTGTATTTGCTTCACTAATCTCTGGCCTTTTTTGCTAATGCTGCATGATTGTTCAACCTGGGGTATCAGGACGCTGCATTGGGATACTGATCCATCAGTTCTTCAGCTCCACTCTGATTCCGATCTGGGGTATTGCATAGATTTCTTATATTCCCTCTTTCATATGCTTATGGATAATATGTATATTATTATACTTATATTATATATATGAGCCTATTTTTTCTTTAAGACTTCAAGTTGTTGTTGTTAAGAAACTGTTCTGTAAGTAATAGAAATTCACTGTCCCTAGACCTAGCACAATTTGCTTTTAATGGGAAATTTTTATATTATTTAATATACATTAGATGCTTATTTCTAATAACTTATTTGTGTTTTCCTTTGAGTCTTTCTTTGACAAAATGTAAACTTTAGGGAGTAATTTATTTAATATAAAAAAGTTAGAATGACTGCATTTAAAAACAGAGCAACTCCCGTCTTTTCTTATAAATATGTTTATAAAAGCTGTATCTCATTATAAGCACTTACTAGAACCTGTATTGTGCTCTAAGAATTATGATTCTGCTCACCAAAACCTTTCAAAAGGTGTTACTCTTCCACTTTTCTCTTAGGAAAGGAGTAGATAATAAAAAACTCAATTTGATATAGGTAAATTGTTGGATCATTGCAGTATTATTACAGGACATACTGCAATTAGCTTTTATAGGAAGCTACAATGACTGAAATAATTTTGTGCCAGTTTTGGAAGTACATTATATATTGTAGTTTGATGTTAGCTATATCTACCTTTATAGGATCTTCCATAAACTAAAGCCAGAAAGCTCAGAGGTTTTCAGTATTGTGCTCTGGAATAACATATTATGGATAAATCACTTGTCAGTGTGAATTTCAGGTTAACTTGCAGTTCTGCATTCTAAATACTGTGTTAGAGCTGAACAAAAAAAGGGCAGCAAAGTTAAAATACTAGGAAATGCTTTTTCCTGCAGAATAACTAGGTTGGTTTGCAAACTTTAAAATCCTAGAACTGTTGCTGTATAAACATGACTTGTCAGCAGATCTGTTCCACTGAAAATAGGGATGTGTCATATATGTGGCAGTACTCTGGTCAAACGGAAAGAGCAAAAATTTAAAATTACGTCCTACAGTCCAGATATTTATGTATGCATATGTTTCTTTTTGTCACAGATGTATAAATAGCTGATTTAAAATAATAATGATAAGATATTAGTCATAATTGTGTGACTTCTTCAGAGCTGAGCTTTCACTGGATTTACGTTTGACTAAGCAGTGCTGTGACAGGATGACTTGGGTAGTATTGTGGGCAAAATATGAAATAATTAATAAAGTTAATTTTTTTTTTCTGATTTCTGTATTAATTTTATTTAGACGTGGACCTGTTAAACTTGGAATGGCCAAAATTACACAAGTTGACTTTCCTCCTCGAGAAGTTGTTACATATACAAAGGAGACGCAAACACCTGTTATGACTCAGCCAAAGGAAGGTGAATGATTAACTTATTACTACCTAAGTTACTTTTTGGTTTCTTTGGTTATAATAACGATGACTGGCTGAATTAAAACCAGCATTTGTGATCTTGAAACTTAATAAGGTAAATGAAGGTTGATATGTGAGATAGTTGATATAAATTCTGTTATTAAATTCTTACAGGTCTTGCTAACTGTCATTCCGCATCTTGTTTAACGTCACTCTTACTACTAATACATGGTATTTTCACACTCCTAGTAACTGTTCAGATTAGACACTGAGTTGCTTAATTAGCTGACAGCTGATAAATAAATGGGATATATTTTGCATTTATGATGTTTTAGAATACACACACAACCTGGCACATGTAGGACAGGGACGTGATTTGAGACAACTGGCATGGCTTCACCAAGGGCAAGTCCTGACTGACCTACTGGCTTTCTGCAGTGGAGTGACTACATCAGCAGACAAGGGAAGGGCTACACATGTCATCTCTTTGGACTTCTGTAAGGCCTTTGACACAGTCCCCCACAACACCTTTCTCTCTAAATTGGAGAGAGATGGATTTGGTGGGTGAACTGTCAGTTGGATAAAGAATAGGATGAACAGCTGTATCCAGAGGGTAGTGGTCAATGGTTCAGAGTCCCAGTGGACATCAGTGACAAGTGGTGTCCCTCAGGGGTCCATACTGGGACTAGTGTTATTTCATACCTTTGTTAATAGACAAAGGAATTGAGTGCACTCTCGGCAAATGTGCAGGTGACACAAGGCTGAGTGGGGTCGTTGACATGCCTGAAGGATGGGATGCCATCCAGAGGGACCTGGACAAGCTCTAGAAGTGGGGCCATGGGAAACTCCTGAGGTTCAACAACACCAAGTACACTTGGGTTGGGACAACCCCCAGTATCAACACAGGCTGGGTGGATGAACAGACTGAGAGCAGCCCTGCTGAGAAGGACTTGGGGTGCTGGTGGATGAGAGGCTGGACACGAGCCACCAATGTGCACTTGCAGCCAAGAAAGCCAAATGTGTCCTGGGCTGCATCAAAAGCAGATCAGCAGATTGAGGCAGATGATTCTGGCCCTCTTCTCCACTCTCCTGAGACTCTACCTGGAGTACTGCATCCAGCTGTTGGGTCCCCAGCAGAGGAGGGACACACACCTGTTGCAGCAAGTCCAGAGAAGTGTCACCAAGATGATTAGAGGGATGGTACACCTCTTCTATTAGAAAAGGCTGAAAGAATTGGGATTGTTCAACCTGGAGAAGAGAAGGCTTCAGGAAGACCTTATAGCAGCCTTCTGTTACCTGTAGGGGTACATGGCTAGAGTGAATGGCTTTACACTGAAAGAGGGTAAGTTTAGATTAGATATTAGGAAGAAATTCTTTACTCTGAGGATGGTGAGGCACTGGCACAGGTTGCCCAGAGAAGCTGTGACTGCTCCATCCCTGGAAGTGCTCAAGACTAGCCTGGATGGAGCTCTGAGCAACCTGGTCTAGTAGAAGGTATCCCTGCCCACAGCAGGGAAGTTGGAACTAGGTGATCTTTTAAGGTCACTTGCAACCCAAGCCATCTTGAAGGCTGTGTATCCTTACACCAACTTAGCAATTAACCCCCCTGCTTCTTAAGAATTTGGATTTTTATACCTGGCACTTGTACTTTGAGTTTTAAAAGAAGGAACTAATTTATTTATTACCTTATGCAGCCATTAAACATGGGCTTTCTTTCTGAGTTGTTTGCTTTTCAGAAAATAAATTTTTCCAAAGAAGATGTGGTTAGTTAATAAATTTGCTTTACAATGTTGAAATACTTGAATTTAGCTGCAAACGAAAATACTAGTCTTGACCTGACTTGTGTGTAGTTCTACAACACAATCTCTTGGTAGTTTAATGTGACTGACTTTGAGTATGTGTCTTTGCTAGCAATTTTAGTACCTAATTCTAAATTCATAATTTTGCATTTTCCTGCTCTTTAGTATGTGAACTTTTGGGTATTTATGCAAGGATATATCTTCCAAACTTCATTATTCAGAGAGCCAGAGGATATGCTTTTTTGCTAACTGTGCTTCTTTTCCATTTTTCATTTTGTCTGTATCCCTGCACAGATAAGTGTTTAGGGTTTTCCTGCTTTCATTTCTCCTATGACCTTAACGTTTCCTTTCTCTAATCCCTCAGGTCTCTTTTTCTTTCCTCTGTCAGGTTCATGGAATCTGAACACTCAGTTCATAGTTTATGTGCTTGAAGAGTTTTATTTCTGCTGCCTGCTGACAGTGGAAATTGCTTGGGATTGTATGATCCGAGTTTCACAGTGGATAGGCTGTAGTTGAGGTTTACTGTAGTGCAGTTGGAAAGGTGGTCATCTTTATTTCTGCATTTACCAGAAAGCTCTCTAATACATGTGTTGTCTCCTGATCCATTCCACCTTAGAAATACTGATTTCTTTAGGGCCATCATAAATTTTTTAATGTATGTGTGCTTACAGGTACCTTTTCATCATATTATTGTCAAAGATCTTTTTAAGGTCTATGTTAAGACTGCATGAATACATTCATAATTAAGCTCTGTGTTCACATTTTACAATGACAACACAAATAGGATATAGGCTTAATAAAAGAGTAAATCATGCTGCCTCCAAAAAAGGAGTCACTAGGTAAGAGATTTTTATTGTGGGAAGAAAACTTTGAACTCTTTAAAAACAATTGACAAAAGCAATATGCTGAATTTTTGGGTGCAGTTAGATAAATTTAAATTCTATAAAATGTGGCTTATAGATTCTTATTCTCACAATCTGAGTTGTCGTGGTTTTTATTTATCTAAGAGCACATACTGTAAACAAAGTTACCTTGCAAAGTACACTTGAAAGTGGAGCTTGCAACTGGATTTGCCCCTACATACAGGAACAAAGTTGCATCTGAGCTCGGTTAGATCCAGTGTTCACACCTCCGTATAAAATGAAGTGAACCAGACCCTTAATTAATATATCTCGAGATTTTAAAATGCTGCTGGAGCTGTGCTTTTGAATAAAGGAAGATAGAAGCAGTTTTATTAGATATGCTGTGCAGTTGTTCTGCAGGTTTAGGTCCACTTGTGCTGTAGGTTTTATTGTGCTAACACCGATTTGGAAGCGGGGGGGAGGAAATAACAAACCCACAACAAAACACCAAATTAAATAGTTCTCTCTGATCCAATTCTGTGTGGCACAGTGGTTTTGTAGTTGTATTGGAATCTGAATTAGGAAACATTCAAACTACAACTAGTCTGTCCCACCAGAGACAGATAAATAGGAAATAGAAGTAAATTAGTTTTAAAACAGTTTCCAGTTGTTATGGAAATGGCAACACATACCAAGTAAGTTAAATAGGAGAGACTTCATGTCCTCAACTAAAAGTTGGCATTTGGAAATGCCTGTTTTGGATTCAGTGTAACAGTTAAATTAATTTTGAAATGTGACAGCTTCCTTGGGTGATGAACAGCTTCCTTGGGTGTGCTAACAGTTCTTGGAACTTCCATTATTTTAGTGCAGTACTAATATGTTGATTTATTATGACCTCGAAGTATTTGAGAAACTGCCTGTCTTAGGAAGATTAAGTCTTTTTTATTGTAAAACAATAAAATTGGGGTCTCCTAGAAGTCAGTTTCACTGAGATTATAGGTTGAATCTTATTTAGAGTGGTAAGTATTTTGTCACAGGAAGTCATTCACTGTATACTGAACTCTATGGAATCTTAAACTTCCCCATTAATTGAAGTTAATAAACATGTTTCATATAGGAAGATGAACATGTTTCACTATAGGAAGATGCCCACATCCAAAGTACACTTAGAAGGTAAATTTGCAATACTTGTTGGGGTGTTTTTCCTCACACTATTAGTTTGATTTTTTTCTCTTAAATTTTCAATAGCCTTAGTTTTCACCCTCCTTTCCTGTAGCAGCTGTATTTGTTACCTAAAAGAAATGAAATGAAATGATGAAATGGTTCATTGTTTTGAGGAATATAGCAGAGAAAATAGGTCCTTTTTTTTCTGTGTTCTTTTGGCATGTTCTGTTTCTGTTTTGGTGAGTTTTGTCATTCTGTACATACAGTAATGATGACCATCTTTTTTATTTAGAGACCAATTAAATTATTTTTGGCTTGGTAAAAGTGTTGTGCCATACTTGATGCTGTTCTCCCTTACTTGATAAACTAAGCCTGAGTGTCTCTGTCTGTATGCCATTACTACACTTCAGTAACTTGTCATGATCATAACATGAACATACAGTGTTTAGGTTGCTTCATTCCGCAGCATCCTTTTTCTAACATCCCCTTTTCTGCTATTTCTCACTGATGCTGTGTGTAACATTTCTCCTGCTTCTCTCATTGTTCAATTTTGGTGTGGTCAGCTGGTTATTAGGGCTGTTATTTAACCTCTATTTGGCAACGGATTTTTCAGATCTACTGTCTGAAAATACATTTGAAATTATGTTCCATTCCTTGACTCATTTTTTTCTAGCAGGCGGCAGAAATTGTTTCAACAACAAAGATGTAATTCAGATGTGAACTCTGGTATGTCTTAATGTTCTGCAGGCTCTATGTTGGCCACTACACGCAGTATTGTAATCATTGGTGTTAATTCTTTTTTTCTTATCTATACATCTTGCTACACTGGTCTCTACTATACTATTTGATCTCTTCCTTTGTGATTTGATAATATATTGTTCAAAATCACGTGGAAAGAAATTAGTCACCAATATGCCCAGTAAAGATGTGTTCTGAGTCCTTGAAGTCATTAATTCAAAGAAAGATGGGATATAGGGGAATATGGTTTTGCTCAGCTGTCACAATTAAGGCAGACAGTATTAATGTATTAGCTCCACTCTTTGAGGAATAATTGTCTGCTAATGTCTCCAAGACATAGAATTAAAATATTAAGCAGAGTAATAACAGTATGGTGTATAGGATTTGGTTCTTGGATGCTGTTATGATGAATGTAGCATTTATGCATTTTAATATTTTAATAATAATAACAGACCTCTGTATATTTGTGTATGATCCTTGTGGGTCCCTTTCAACTCAGAATATTCTGTGATTCTGTATTATCTAGTACATGCCTTTAAATGTACAGTGAAATATAGATGGGAAAACTTGATATGAAGACATTCAGCTTAACAAAAGCCACCCATTTCACAGATGATTTAACTTTGATTAACCTACTCTGCAGCAACAGATTACTCAGACAACTGGAACTGCACTCTACAGTGTTTATTGCTAGGTGCAGCCTAATTTATAGCACTGCTTTTCTTTCTGTCTTGCCAAAATACATCACAATTTCGATGTTAACTCAAAGTAAAAATTCAGTGGTTCATTAAATCTGTTTTTAGCATTCATTGACAAGAAATTTGTTGCCATTAAAGATTGCATAAAAATAGCAGCTACTTTGCTGCTCAGTTTGTAACCTTAGATCCCCTGTTCGCCTGTCAGAAACAATATGGTGTAAATCCCTTAGCATATTATAATGAATATTCATTAATATGTTGATGTGACAGTCCCATTTCCTGTCTTCATGGCCTTATGACTTTTCCTAGTCTTAGCAGCCTTTTTTAAATCTGAAATTGTATTTGGTATACTGACAATTGAAGTGGCATAAAATGCCAGTAGGGACAGTCAATAATGAATAAGAGGGATGAAGTTAGGAAGTTCCCTTAAGGTTTCCAAATTGAGCTGGCTGACTTGAAATAAATGCAGTGCACAACTGTATTGTGGTTCTTGACTTCATAAATGTGGAACTTTTTCAGAAATAGTGTGTCCAACCTTTCAGTCTTTGGGTGATACATTATTATTATACCAATTCCTTGCAAATTCCAGCATCTTGCTTGTTATCAAATAAATTCAAGATAAAGGAGACACAAGAAAAGTAATTAAAACAAACATTTCTTACCTCTTTTGTAGTCCAATAGTTTAATGCTTCCTTTTTTGATCGTAAACTTCTCTGAGAAAGCATCCCAGGTTTGGATAAGAAGCATTCTAGTTTTGGATAATAAGGTCAAGAACTTGTATATGTGGGGGTTTTTTGTTTTGGGTTTTTTTCCCCTACAGATCCCTGAATGAGAAAGTTTGCATATGACTTTTTTAGGCAGAAGGTTTTAGATTTATGTAGTTACAGATAAATCAGTGAGATGACATGTTCAATTTCAAGTCTGATACTTCGAGAATATTAAAATAAGTGCTGTATCCTGCATTTAAATGCAGTAATATCAGCTGGCTGTATGCAGTGAAAGTACTATGAAGGAATTTAGAGCTCTGTATAATATATGCCATTTATGTTTCAAACATTAAAAGGCAGGAGCAATCAACTATATGATCTTTTGAATAAAATATGTAGATTAGAAGGTCACTTAGCACTAAGGGGTTGACCGTCTACTTTGACAAGAAGTTGACTCCTGTCACTGAAAATGGTACTTAGAATCAGTGTAGTATGACTAATGGGGGGTTGGGCTGAAATTTCTAATTTGGGACTTTCAAAGCTAGAATAATGTATCCAGGGTGACCCAAAACCAAATCTATAAATTTGAAGGCATCATTTAATTCTGCAAGATTGATTGGCAGAGTGAACAAGAGGGGGATTTTTATTGAAGTGACTGTAACGTGAATATGTGGTCCTGTATTTGTTGTTTTTAAAATCCATATATGTTAACTCATATTACATTTTTTAATTAATCATTGTTCATACCTATAGTGATTTGACATTAAGAATTCCATTCTTTAGAATGGCTATAAGTTATACAGTTTTCAGGTTACAAGTCTGCTGTACATGCGAATCCATCTAAAAAGGAGCAGTGTCTTTCTGTTTCTCTGCGTGATTATTTTGCCCAAAAAAGCTTTCATTTTTTTTAAGTAGCACAAAAGCTGTAATTGGCATGCTTTGTAAGGAAGTGTCAATGTGCAAGAGAGTGGAGATCACTAAGAATTCTTTTACGGGTTCTTTCCCCTTTGCACCACCGCCTCCTCAGCAGGGTCACTGAGATCACTAGCTTTTCTTGAAATGGCCATTTTCACTGGCAGGTGCATTATACCCTGTATTTTCAGATTGTTTTTCCATTCTGAATGTTTGGCAGGTTGATTGCTCTGGCTGCATTGACGGAGAAAGGGCTGACAAATGCGGTTGGGCTGGCTGAAAAGACAGTGATTACTGTTTTCCTTTGTGGCTGATTGAGGCCCTTGAAAGGAAAGATTTTAACCTTCACCATTTGGTTCAAAAGTATGAGCATATATTGAAATCATTCATGCCATTTATCCTAGTTCTGTAAACTTGTCAGAACATAAAAATCGCTCAATTTCAAGTAATGTAGGATTGGCATACGTCATTATCATTTTGATTAAGTTGGAGTTTGTATTATTGTGTGCATTATACAGTGTCATTTAAAGCTTTCTTTCCTGCAGGTACAGTTATATTTTTATTGCCTATACTATGGAGTTAGAAAGATTTTCAGACCTCTTTAAACCTATCACTATGTGTGTGGTTTGGCAGCTGGTATGGCCTACAAGCTGTATTTTGTTTGCAGGGTAAAGGCTTGTCTGTAGACCTCCTGGAGTGCTGGTAATTGCACAGGCTTGCCATTGGGGAAAGACATGATTGGAAGCAGTCAGGCAGAAAAATGTTGTGCCATCCCATTGCCACCTCACAGTAGAGAGACAATCCTAGCAGTACCATCTGGTTGTTGCTATCTAGTCAGCTGGCCTGGCTGCTGGGACCGTGGCTTGGCAGCTGGTTCCCATCCCTTAACCACCCCCTTTTTTTTTTAACCCTTTTTGTGTGCACGCATGTGGATTTTTTTTTTCCTTTAGTTTTTGTGTTAGATAACTTTGAAGATGGGTCAGGGAGAGGCTGCAACAAACAAGCCTAGTCCCTGTTGAATACTGTCTCATTACTTGTGATGAGGCATGCAGCAGTCTCCTGCTGCCATTCCCTTATAAGCAGATGACATAGCTGTTTAACCAATAAAAAGAATCTTTTCAGAAGCTTATTCTAGAAAGTGGATGAAGAAAAGCCAGGAAACACATATTCCACAACACTAAGTAATTTAAAGGTATTTTCTGGTTTACAGTATTCGAAGAATAAAATGTAGAAATGCAGAAAGTGCTGTAAGCCTTGTCAGTATTCCCGAACATTAACATTTTGTTATTCATTGCAATTAGGGAAAACACATTTTCCTGTAAAGTTCTCATTGCCAAACATGATACAGATAATGAGACTTGCATCTAGAATGACAGAAAAAATGTAATCTCTCTGCTATTATCCTTAGCAAAATTTGCCTCTCGGAATAGCAACCTGAAAGCTAATGTAAGCCATCTTCATGCCATGTGCAGACCCATTAGACTCTGATGGTTTCAGATCACAGATAAGCAGCTGCTCTGTAGACTTAGACACTTGATTTTTCTTTATTCTGCAGCATTAATGTGTCAATATGTTACACAGAACATGCATCCACCACATGGTTTTGTGTGGAATCATGAATGCCTGTAAGAGATTTCTGCTTTGGATTCTTTACAATTTCTTATGTGTCTTAGTTCAGTTTATGCAACTACATAATTTAGTGCAACTAAAACCCAGGTGTAGACAGTATTCCAATGATATTTTGGTTGTGATAATGTTATCCTGGGGACTGCATTTTACAAATACAACCATTTTAAGCTGCATGATACCGTTTTACCTCAGCTTATTTGAGATTCATATGGAATGTTACTGTTACTCTTTAGAAACACTGACAGTCTCACCATAATGTTTCTCCTTAGATGAAGAAGAGGAAGATGATGTCGTTGCACCAAAACCATTAGTCGAACCTGAGGAAGAAAAAACATTAAAAAAAGAGGAGGAGGAAGAAGGTACAGTTTACCTCAAGACATTCTCAGTGTGCTGTAAAGAAAGGCATCAATACATTTTTAACTTTTTGTTCCATTAATTTAAAATTAATTTGTTAAATATCAATCAGCTAGCAAAATATAAAATGTAAAAATTATTTTAAATCATGATAAATACTCGTTTTTCTTTCTTGAAAAGAATTGGTGAAAGCATGCGGTTCAGAAAACGTATGTATAAATTTTTTTCAGCTGCCCCTCATGAACTTACAGAAGAGGAAAAACAACAAATTTTGCATTCTGAAGAATTTTTAAGTTTCTTTGATCACTCCACAAGGATTGTTGAAAGAGCCCTTTCTGAGCAAATCAACATTTTCTTTGACTACAGTGGAAGAGACTTAGAGGACAAAGAAGGGTAATGTGAATGTTGAATACTTCCCTGTGAATGTCCAATACTTTTAATTGAAAAAATGATCTAAGATTAATATCTCCTAATTCTCTTTATAGAGAGATTCAAGCAGGAGCAAAACTGTCATTAAACAGGCAGTTTTTTGATGAACGTTGGTCAAAGCATCGTGTTGTCAGTTGTTTGGACTGGTCATCTCAGGTAAGAAATAATGCTTAGATTAAACAGTTACCTTTGTAAGTTGTTCTGTGTATTTGACTCAAATAAGAAGTACAGTTGATACAGGCTGCATTTCTAAATATGTTCTTGCCACGATTTGCAAAAAGTAGACAGAGCTGTTAAACTTTTGTGAAAAGTAGCAAAAGGTTTGTATTATGAAAAAAGTCTTTGGCATATTTGCTTTTGGTTTATGGACTACTTAAAGGTAACTCCGAGCTTCCCTGAAAAGAAAGCTCACTTAAAAGTACTGGGTTTTACAGTTAAAAGCAAGTTATGATGAAAGAACTGATGTGTACATTAATGCTGTTTTATGAACTAAATTAGTAACAGTTTTAACTGACAATTTTTCATTCATTTGTAATGTAAGGTGATTTTTTTAACCCTATTTTGGTGAAAGAAAGCAAAGATTCTAGATTATCTGAACCATTAGCTTGTCATCTTCCTTACTTTGAGTTTTTTTTTCCACTTACTGTGCAGTACCCAGAATTACTTGTAGCCTCTTACAACAACAATGAGGATGCACCTCACGAGCCTGATGGGGTCGCCCTTGTATGGAATATGAAGTACAAGAAAACTACCCCAGAGTATGTCTTTCACTGCCAGGTATGATTCTGTCTTGAAAGGCTCGAGATTTTATCATGATGAATTTGGACAAGTACCTTCCTGATGTTTGTCAATATAATAATTTCATTGGGCTGGCATTCACTTTAATCACATTTATTTGCCAACAGATGTTGATAGCTAGAGATCGTGGCTGAGAAACATTATCCTGTTTCAGAATTTCTGACATCATTCAGAGTTCAGTCATGTTTGAGAACTGATTTTCTTACTTTATTTAAAAAATAAAAAAGTCTTCTTGTGTAATGGTTGAACCACAAAGGTTTGTATGTAAGGGGATTGAGTGGGATTGCATATACTACTACAGCTTATTTTACTGAATAAAATGAAGATAGCCTGAGGAGATGGAGCAAGGATGAAAACTAGAAATATGCATCAAGAAAAAGGCAGATGAAAGTTTTCTAGTAGTTTTCTGAAAGATAAAAACATGCAAATCTCTTCCATTATGCCAAGCCTGAGATAGCCACTTTTTTTCTGTTGTTTTGAAAAATTACATAGTTGAATTGAAATTTAACCTCAAGTTGTCACGTTACTGTCAAAGCCCAGATTGCAGAAGTAACTTTGTTGTATCAAAATGTATTTCTACATTCTCTAAGAAAATAAGCACAGAATTTGGCAAAACATTATCAAAATTTTGTGGGTTATTGGGCCTTCCTTTGCTAACAAACTGTGCTCAGAGGAATACAGATGTATGCATGTGAAAGAAAAGACAAGGAAAACTTCATTTTATAATGATAAAAAGACTGTTGAGGGGTCAGAAAGGGTATGTGAATCCTTAAGTTCATTGGACACTGAAACAGTGCATTGAATAAATCTAGGCAAAGAACTTGTTCTGATATTTGTCCTCATTTTCTTTAGACATAGTGTCATTGAATGATCGTTTATGTATATTTTGCTGTTTGTTTTTCTTCCTGTCAGTCAGCAGTGATGTCAGCTACATTTGCAAAATTCCATCCCAATCTGGTGGTTGGTGGCACATACTCAGGCCAGATAGTGCTGTGGGATAATCGCAGCAATAAGAGAACCCCAGTGCAGAGAACTCCACTGTCAGCTGCTGCTCACACGGTAGGAGGTGAAATATCTTTAAGGACTGTGCCATGTTGAGATGTGTTTAATGTCTAGGAAACTGTCCAGTGCACTTGATTGATTTTTCTGAATGTCCAAAATATGGACATGAACATTTAAGCATTATCAAAGTGTCAGAAAAATAAGTATCAGTTTTATAGGGGAGTATTTGTACTTTTGACAATCTGTTCAATCTTTTATGCTTTGTTAAAAGGTGAAGTTGTATATTTTACTGTATGTTAATTATATCAGAACCAGTTATTACCTGTAAATTCCTTTCTGATAGTATTTTACATTTCTTAGCACCCAGTGTACTGTGTGAATGTTGTTGGGACCCAGAATGCTCATAATTTGATTAGTATCTCAACTGATGGGAAAATATGCTCTTGGAGTCTGGACATGCTGTCCCAACCACAGGTAAGATAACTTTGGATATATACAGTATTTATTCCAGGTTAATATTTTGTAAAAAAATTTAACTAACTTTAGAAACAGTAATCAACAGTTTCCCAACACCCAGAATTAAAATAGCTTGATATTTGATAAAATATTTGCCCACCTGTGGAATCAAATATTTTCTGTTGATCCTTTTGTATATTTTTGTTGCACTTTTATTAGTGGTGGAAACAATTTTAATAAGAAAACTTCCTTATTCCTGCCCAATCTATACAAGTGAAATAAAAACCCCTTCCTATTGCAAAATCTAAATGATTTTGTAGGTGTTAATATTTCTTTTCATAAATTAAGTTGCTGATATTTTCACTACAGGATAGCATGGAACTGGTTCACAAGCAGTCCAAGGCTGTGGCTGTTACCTGCATGTCTTTCCCTATTGGAGATGTCAACAACTTTGTTGTTGGCAGTGAAGAAGGCTCAGTGTACACTGCATGCCGTCATGGCAGGTGAATACAAACTTTAATTATTCAAAGGAAATAAAAACAGTGAAAAGATGAGTCCCTGCATGCTTTACACTCCTAAAATTATTTAAAGTGCATATTTCCTCCTTTGTGTTGAAGGAGTTCAAAGTAGCTGTTTGTGAATTGCAGTGCACACTTTTTCCTGAGTAAGAGCTTCCTTAAAAACAGGAGAAGTTGGAATATTGAATTGGTATTATGAGTTGTGTTGATGAGGACAGCATAGGTTACTGTGGTTTTATTCATTTGAATTGTAGCAGAACATTCCAAACTTCGTATCAGTTTTGTAGATAATTGTACAGTAACATCACGCACAAATCTTAAATTGGCTAGCTGTTCTCCTGCTGTTCAATCTATTTTGAAATTGTCTTGACTGTATCTTATCAATTGCTTTCTTAAATACAATTGAGTGTCCAGGTTTCATCTCAAATACATATCACCCTCGCTGCACAGCTTTTTGGTTCCAAAATACCCAAAATTGTATCACTTTTGTGTAACATCTTTCCCATCTGTTCCCCCCCTTCTTTTTCATTGCTCCTGATAGGAGGCTATTAGGGATATATTGTTACTGGTTTATGTCTGAACCCCGTGTCCATAAACTTCCCTTAAATCAGTGGGAGTTTTACGCTCATTCCCGAAGACTGGATTTTGTTCCTTGTGTGAATGGAAGTTTTAGCTATTGCTTGGAGGACAATGTAGTTAAATGTGTGGACTGGTACCTGCTGAATGAGTCTCTTCTCCCTGGGATATATTCTGGCACTGAGGGTTAGTAGAAAATAGATGTTGAACTTAAGGTCTGTTTTCAAGCCTGGTCTTCTGCGATCCTGCTGTGGTGAAGCCTTTTGCAGTGAGGTAACATCCATATAAAGCAACAAAATCTTCCTGTGGCTATGTTTAAATTGCATTTCAGTGCTATCTCTGTATGCAGATGTACAGTTTCCAAATAAATTAACCTTGGTTGTATATTCTGAAACAGCAAAGCTGGAATCAGTGAGATGTTTGAAGGACACCAGGGACCAATCACAGGTATCAACTGCCATGCAGCAGTTGGACCTGTAGACTTCTCACATCTTTTTGTCACCTCTTCTTTTGACTGGACAGTAAAGCTTTGGACAACTAAGGTAACTTAGATAGTTCAGTGGTTTTCTTCGTAGCCCTTGACACAAGGTGGTGCTATAATGTAAGCTACTTAAGGCAGTTCACTAACCTGAAGTCAAATCCCTGAGGTTCTTAGCTGCAGTCCTGCAAAGAGGAGGCAGCTGATGAGCAAAACTACAGTTAACAACATAAAGCTTTGCTTTCAGCTTGTGCATCATTTGTATACTTCTGATCCATTCTTTTCACCCTTCTGCCCTTTGTTATCAACAATGATTACAATGTAATCAAATGTAAATCATGTTGTAAAGTCAGTTGCTTCATATATTCATAAGGCAAATGTTTTGCTACAATTTTTGTGGAGGACTAAGGGACAGCATTAAAACTGATGTCAGTTAAACTTCATGAGGCTCACAATTGAAATATGTCATTCCCATTGCCAGAATTACTTCTTTGTCAGTTTGATGCCCTGAAGAATGCAAAGCAGAGGAAGCAGAGTTAGAATCTGCCAGTAATAGTCTGAAGTGCTGTCAGTGAATTATCATTGGCTTGATTTACAAGATTCTTAATGTGTTAAATTTACAGTCTTTTAAAATGTTGTCTTGCTATTGTTTTACAGTAGCAGCCAGCAAAAGGGCTGCATGCTTTGGAAAGCATACCTTTAATAATAGCATTAATTTTGGGCTGGTTTCTGCAGAGGCATTTTTTTAAAGCAAGTCAAAATGTGAATTACTTTTTAGTTATGTTGAAGTTCTCTATTTTGGTTTGCCCTTTAGCTTTATAATTTTGAATTGCAGGGTTTGGGTATTGCATTTTCATCTTTGCTTTTTTTCAGAATAACAAACCTCTCTACTCCTTTGAAGACAACTCAGATTATGTTTATGATGTGATGTGGTCTCCAACTCACCCTGCCTTGTTTGCCTGTGTGGATGGGATGGGCAGACTTGACCTGTGGAATCTCAACAATGATACTGAGGTGAGGAAGTTAGGTTAACAGTCAAATGTAGCTGGAAAACTGTTTGTACACTTAAAAAAAAGTCAAGAGTTTACCACAGTGTTTTGGTTTGGTTTTTTGTTGTTCTTAGATATTCTGTAGTTCAAGTAGCTTCTGTGTAATAGACTGCATTCTTTGATTACAGGGTTGCAACTTAGATGACTCCTTACAATGAATAACAGCAATAATTGTTTTACCTGTGACAAGAGTGCAAAACGTCTACTGGTGTAACACTGATCCATTTTGTGAAAGTGATTATAGATCTCCCACTCTGTGACCTTGTCAGCCTATAGCTTAACAGTGTGAACGAACCTGTTACCACACCCCACTGTTGTTCCTATTGCCATGGTAATACTGCAGGGAAGGTGTCATTTGTTTCTCAACTTAGAGAACTGAATGTTTGGTTTTCCAGCATGAGTTATGAACTTCATTATAGTATAAGTCTTTTCCAAGACTTGTTGGAGGTAGGTCAGAGGAAAAACCTGACAGATACTTAGTACTTAAATTTCACCTTCTTAAAACTACATATAGAAGAAAGTTGTAGACCATATGCCAGCCCCTGGCTTCAAATTGGAATTACCTGGTTCTAGCCTTTTGGACAGGACTTGACGTGCTAAAACCTGATTTCATCCCTGCCCTCTGTCATAATCCTTCTTGAGATCCCAGGGCTCCTTGTTGTTGACTTCGATGCATGTCTGTGCCTCCTGTCTCGCAGGAAGAGTGCAGATGTGCTTTTTGATAGAGAACATTTGAACATTTGAACATTTGACAGAAACTGTGTTGTTTCAGTCATGTCACTGAGAGTCTTTATATGGTGTGCAGTCTCTGATCTGCCTACTGCGCATCAGTTGAAGTGCTGGGAACTTCTTTTGATACAACACGGAGGGAGTAGGTGTGTTCTGTAATCTACAGCTTATGGAAACCTGATGCATTTTTAGCAATGTGTTTCAAATCCACATAGGTACCAACTGCAAGCATCACTGTGGAGGGCAATCCTGCTCTGAACCGTGTGAGATGGACACATTCTGGGAGAGAGATTGCTGTGGGTGATTCAGAGGGACAAATAGTTATTTATGATGTGGGAGAGGTATGTATACCATGTATTGTGCAAAGTATATTGAGTTTCTTTGCCCTTTACTTAGCAACTTGCTTTTCACTTTTTTTCTCCTGTCATTACAGGAATCACTTTTAGGTTTAATTTTTATTTTCAAATTAAAGATTCCTTTTAGGGTTTTATTTAGGGTGTTCTAGCATAACTTTTTAGTGTGCTGTCACTCTGTTAAAAAGGAAAAACATTACTGTAAGGCTGGCAAAATAAGATGAAAGAACCAATGGTTTTGTTTGTAGAGACTTTGCCTTCTTTGTAACTGTGGCACATGTGAATTGTGACTGCAGTGGAGCAGTGTTGATTTTGTTCCTACAGGGAAGCTGTTGCTGTTGCAAGTATGTGTACTGCAGTAGTACAAAACTGATTGATGGGCTGAGGATATAGCATTAGCATGCAGTTTTGGAGGCAGTCTCTCAGATGGAGGTGTATAGCCCAAGTTTGTAATAATATCATTATATACTTAAATGTAGGATTCTCAAATTCTGCTGGTTTTATTAGTTAGAGCTATTGATGGTCAGACTGTTTTAAAAAGTGACACTAAATAAAGGTAAGCTTTTCTATGAGAACCTCTTCTGAATATTACTTAAGTGCTCTGCTGTTCCAAGTGAGCTCAGATTTATTTATCATTGGGTCTAAATAACACTCTCTTTGCCCACAGCAAATTGCTGTTCCTCGTGGGGATGAGTGGACTCGCTTTGGTCGGACGCTGGCAGAAATAAACGCCAACAGAGCTGACGCAGAAGAGGAAGCTGCGACCCGAATCCCGGCCTAGAGCTGGAAAATAGGCAGCACTGGTAGATTTGTGAATGATTTGATGCAAATCCTAAAAGTGCAAGCATGTGTCGGTTCAAATCATAGCTTAAGGGAGGAATGTATGGATTCAACTATGGACTTTGAAAACATATTAAGATCACTGAAAATCAGATCTTGCATTGTCACTTTTTATATATAAATTACAAGCACATTCTTGGATTTGTGTAACTTTTAATACAGTTAACTTTGACTTTGCAAGGAACTTACTTTGCTGAAACACTAACCTGGTATAAATTTGCTACTTGGCTTCTGAAAATTCCAGTCTGAAACAGTATCTTTCTGAAAAGTAGAAGTTCTGTTCCTAAAACTTTCTGTATTACACAGACTAACCTTCATTAGGTAGTAAATGTCTGAAGCATTCTTTAATGAACTCCTCAAATTACCCATGGATATGCATGCATATGTTCCAAGTAAATGTCATTGTTCATATATAGATAAGCCTCAGACTCTGGTAGTGGGTAATATATGTGAATAAAACTTGTCTGTAGTTACAAACTTACTTGATAATCCACCCTGAATTAATGAAATACATATTTAATACCAAGTTCTTTTTGTCTGAATTGGTGCAGTAAAAGGTGAGATTGATTCATAAATAAATACGAGAACTTGTCAGCTGCCCTGACCTCTAATCTGTGTCCCTGCAGTAGTTTAAAGTTTCTGGGAGCTGCTCCTTTTGTTTTACTATACACATCACAGAATTCTTTTCTACCTTCAACCTCCACTTCTTACCAAAGCCAATAGGAAAAAGGCTATTGTCAAATTTTTCTTTTCCAAAGGATAAGGAACTAGATTTTTACTTAATTTCTATGGCATGATGATTTGCACAGGCTTGCTACTAATTTTCTGTATTAAGTTAAAGGAAGATTTTTTTCATTGATTTTTAACATTTTTGTTGAAAACAAACTTTGTAATGGCTTCAAACAGAATCGTTGCAGTTTCTGTTAAAGGTTAATTTTTTTCTTTCTTAGCACATTATAAAGTTTAAAGGGGTGGGGGCCTACAGTTTGCTTTTGGGTTGGTTTTGGTGGTTTTGAGGTTTTTAATGAATATTCTGAGTTGTAATAATTAGATTCTAAACCAGTATTGATGCCTTTAACTTAGGATTCTACATTTGTTTCTTCTGTTCTTAAATCTGCTACAAGTTTATTGTTTTCTCAGAAGAGCTGGTTTTATATGCTTGAAAATAGGAAATAGGCTTATATTTATTGATCAGCTTTATGTCCAGAAGTATTCTCCTTGTTTCTTCATTGTTTGTATTTTAACTTTTCTGTTTTGTTTGGATTTTTTTCTGTTTCTCCTCCTCTCAGTTCTGTTATGAGTAGTTTATAGAGACATAGGCAGCAGGAACAGCAGTTCTGTCTTCAGGAGGGTTTTTTTTTCAGTGGGTCTAAAAGTGAAATGTGTTCAGGCTTCCATTGGTGTCGGTGTGTTAAAAATGTCTGTGTCCCCCCCCCGCTTTCCCATGCAGTCAGGCTGCTTGGTTTGCAGATATTTACCCTGCATGTTTTCCTCAACCTTACAACAGCAGCTCTGTTCAGTTGGGAAGCGTGTGAACTACATAAAGCACAGGCACATCATGCGATGGTTTGTACCCTTTGGGCACAAGAATTCTTAGTGAGCTGAGTGTCTGTTTTCATGATGCTTTGGGGGGGAGGGGATGCTTGGGATTTTGGTTGGTTGTTCTTGTGGGTTTTTGTCCTGAGAATACATTTCTGTCAGACTTTTTCTTTTCAGAAATCCAGTAGATGAGACTTTCTTCCAGTGACTGTTGCACACATGCAGGTCATATGGCGCTAGTTTTGTGTAGTTTCAACCTTTTAGTAATTTTCATTTATTAAATTTAGTACTACTCTATATTCCTTCCTGCTTGTTTTCCTCCCTCCCAGAATAGCTGAGTCCAGATTTAAAATGTTGTCAAACCCATACCTGCAACATGGAGACCAACAGTGATGGTAGGTACTGTAAATGACCATTCTGGGAGCCAAACTGTCCAGTTTTAGAGCTGTAAGAAATACAAATGTTGTTGTGCATTGTAAAGTCTCCTAAGGCCTTGATCAAGTCAGTCAACAAGCTGTGACTAAGATTAAATGCCAGTGGGTACCCACCACTTTTGTATCTGTTTAGAAAAGCACAGGACAAAATATACAGATACAAGAGAGGGTTCCTGGGAAGCCTGTCCCTGTCCAGAGAACTGTACAGAACAAGAAATTCCTTAAACAGGATAATAAAGACAGGAAGCCTTCTCATTGGGTTATATATATGCATGATGCAGAATAGTGATCAAACTCCCAAGGTCTATTGTAACCTCTGGCTCACTTAATATTATTAGGCACCAGAATATTTTGTATCTTGCTTGGAGGCTAGAGCTGAAGGAGGGCTTGTCTGTGTAGTGTTCAGTTTCTAAGAAGCCATTTCTTCATAAACGGACTAAATCTCTGATTGGTCTGCTATCACCTGAATAAGTAAATAACAGAACCTTGAATCAGTTCATACCACTGGGATACGCTGCACTCTGGGGTGCTAAACCCGAGAAGAAACACGTAAACCTCAAGATAGGAGCCTGCTGTGCTTCAGTGAGCAAGGCTGGAAACCCACCCATCTCTTCTCTGGCTGCAAGGGCAGTATAACTACTTTTCCTGTAGGACTGTGGAAATCTAGACTCCCCTATTTCCTCTGACATTTTTGCATTTAAATATTATACCAGGGAAACTTTCAGCAGACACTAAGCCAGAAACAGTTCAAGCTTTTGCTTTTTCCTCCCCTTTCACTTCCACTCAGCTTCCACTCCAATCAGTTTTGCATATAAAAATAATACATTAAGTAACTTTTTTTTTTTACCCCCACAGAATAACATAATCTTTCAGTGGTACAACAATCTAAAATAAAGAGAATGCCTTCAATTTTTTTTTAACAAGGTTTCTATTCTGGAAAAAAAGCACTCTGAGTAATAAGCCCTGTAAGAATTCTTGAGTCTGCTAATAACTGGCAAATCTCTCATTGTGTTTTAAATGTGCTACCATAGAGGTAAGATCTATTACACATTTACTATGACCATGTATTTCCAGATAATTCCTTGTCACAAAGTAGTGCTGCAAAATAAAATATTGCCTGTGCTCATCTAGTTACTGTATCCTCTTACACTTACAATCCAGCACATGGCATTTTAATTCCTTTGCTGTAACTAGCACTGAAGTGCATTCCTGCAAAGGCTGTGTCCTGTCCTGTCCATTCAGTAAGTGGGCGCATCTGATCTTTAATCTGTGGAAGTTGTCCTACTGGACAACTTTCTCTAAACTCAAAGAAGTGAACTGATGTGTTTTTAAACATTTTATTGTCACGATTGTTAACAAAACGCCTTCAAAACATCTGTACATTTCAAACTATTTTGAACTGCAATACCCATTATATAAATGTACGTGTATAGATGCCCTGATGTCTCTGTACAAAGATGTACAATATGTACAGTAACATTAAATGCAAGCTGTGCAAGGCAAAGTCTAGGCTACAGCTTCATGCCACCAGTTAAAACAAGGCATAGAACCACAGCTTCAATCAGTTCCTTGTGTGTAAATAAATAAATGCAGGTATGTATGAATATTAGAAAGGAGCAATTAGATTTGCAAGCTCAGTTCAGCTAGAACACATGCAGCTGACTGGGAAAAATACAGTAGTACTCTTGTGAACTCTTTCCACCGCATCACTTCGTTAGGTTGAAACATCTTTTCAGGATTCAGCTGCTACTTTTTGCTTGAACTGAGGTGATGCCAGGAGCTCGAAACTTTGGAAGATATAAACCAAATTTATTTTCTATACCAGCAAATGTAGCTGTAGCAAGTCTATATCCGCCTATATGTGCAGGGTTTACAGGAGGAAGATCTGAAATTCGAGTTTTTGGGGCAGCTTCTGATCCAGCAGGTTTGCTGTTTGAACAAAGAAAAAGAAAAAAAGCCTTTCTGTTATGAAATCTAGACTAAGAAATAACTGTAAATAAAGTTACTCAGGCTTAAATACCTCAGTCTTTTGTCTGAGTATGGAAGACTGTTAAAGCTGACCTTAATTAACTCTGATGGTGAAGTGGAAGTCAGACCACTACTTAATTTTAAATCAACCCCAAAACTGAAGTTACAGTTTTACTGATAGTTTTGTAAATTCTTTTAACTTCCAGTGCCATGAGGAAAATGGACAAAACTATCCTGCTACAATGGAAATATAAATTAGTGTATTGAAATAAATATGAAATGGCTCTTTATTTCCTCATCTGTTTAGAAGGAGCATGCAAGTTTCCCTCAATTATATAAAAGGGGGGGGAATTTTTTAAATGCTGCAATTTTAAGTACAGGTGCTCAAAGTCAATGAGTTTTAATGGGTCCCATGCATGAAAAAAATAGTTTTGGTTTTTTAAATTCGGTAGTTGTTTTGTGCAAGCTAAATAGCAAATACTTGACTTACAGGCCTCCAAAATCAACATAAAACCATCTCTGCAGAAGTTCATAAGTGACCAAAGTAACACCAAACTGGGGTGAAGATCTGAACACGCGAGCTGTTAAATATTACAAATCACAGTGTTAAACAAATGAAAGAATTTCTCAGGAGAGAAGCTAAACATTTTTAACAAGGTGTTATGTTTTTCACAATCAGACCTTGTAAATACTGCTCGAATTTGAGTCCTTAACAAAGCAAGTGCTAATTTGTAGGTTTGGGGTCAGCCTTAATGTTGAGAGTCCGTTTCTCACCTCCAGCTCCCTTCCACAAAGCCGAAGGGCCTTCTTCCCTCAGAATCTTCCTAAAGCAGTCGATAACTCCACTGTATGTTGTCTGACCAGCGCGAGCTGCCACTTGCAGTCTTGTCTTGATGACATCAGCAGGGGTTACCAAAGAAGCAGCAGGCACACCTTTTAGAAGAAAACCACATTTAATTTGCACAAAAGATCTTGTAAAAGATGAAACACTTCTAACTGAAAAATACAACTGCAAACTTTCAGATTTTTACCAAAAAATGCAGGTTCTTACTCTTGATGCTCATATACACTGTTGTGCTTGGTATAGTTTTGTGTTTCTTTTAAAGGCTATAACTGATAGTAAAGAGAATAAACTATCAACAACGAATCTCTCAACATCTTCTAGTGGTCTGGCATTAACAGTAGTTTAAAACAAGATAAAAGAGGCTATATATGTAATATATAAAAATTAGTTATGCAGCCTTACTGTATTTATTAATACTCTACCACATATTTTGCAAGTTACATAGATGATTGATTTGGGAATTGAATGCTATGCATCCATTTGTTAAGGGTGCTAATGAGAAAACTACTACTTAAAACACCTATTCTACAGAAACATGTCTGTACTGCTGTTTGGATTGTTCTGTAGGAGAATAGATGCTGTTTACTTCAGTAGGCAAGCCATAAAAGGACTGAGGACAATGAAGGTGTTTTACAAGTCTGCTTAGTACCAACAGCATGATACTAGCCAACAGTGATGGAAGAACAAATCTCCACTTCCAAGGCACCACTCTTGGCTTTCTAGCCAAAGGAAAGGAGAAGGTTTTCATAAATGTACTCCACAGTATATAACTGTGTTATCTGAGAGATTTCTGAATACTTGTGAATACTGTAAAAATTTAATCCCCTTAAAAAAGATGAACCATCTTCTGACTTAGAATTCTGAAATTAATTTAGACTTCTGTTGAACTTTTACAGTTTGTTAATATTGAATTAAAAATTTTCACAAGACACTGACTTGCATAGGT